TACCGAGGAAGTTACGGGAAGTTGTGCTGCGTCAATCCCATGATAATTTAACAGGAGGACATCTCGGAATTAAGAAAACATTGAGTCACCTACAACAAAGATTTTACTGGATAGATATGAGGCGAGATGTGGAAGAATGGTGCAGTACATGTAGTGCTAAAAGGGGATCCAAGCATAAGGGATGCCCACCTCATGAAGAGTTGCCTGTGAATATGTCAGGGTTTGTGGAACTGTTATGGGAAAGGATGGATGATATTCACCATCAAGTGCATTCAAACTTGAAAACGTCTGCTGATTCGATGAAGCTAACTTATGATAAGAGATCTACTGAAGTCAGCTTTGAACTAGGAGATAAGGTGTGGTTGTATAATCCCAGGAAGACCAAAGGAAGTCTCCTAAGTTGTCTTCTCCATGGGAAGGCCCATATGACATAGTGGATCGTCTCTCAGACGTGACTTTCCAGGTAAAATGTGGTCAGCGAGGTAAGCCAAAAATGGTGCATGCTAACAGGCTTTGGCGTTATCACGGTCCAGGACATTTCAGTTGGGATGAAGTGGACAACAGAACAAATGACGCTGCTGAAGACGTACCACCTGAAGAAGCCACTGTCGAAGAAGAAACTCTACTCAGTTTTGAGAAGGGAAATGGTGTGACTGTTACCGACGATAGGACATTTCCTGATGAAGCAGATGAACCCCACGTGAAGCAGAAGCCAACGAGACGGAGACCAGTACGGAAGAAGATACGTTGGTAAAAGAGTAGCCCAAGAGTTGGCGGTGGGTGGTGATGACTAGCTGCCTTCCCTCTAGTCTTACACTGCTAAATTAGTGACGGCTATCGCAGATAGCCATCGTGTAGCTTTGCGCGAAATTCCAAAACAAAAACAAAGAAGATACGTCCCGTAAAATTAAGACTTTGTTGAATTGTAATTTTGTGTTTGTAATTCTGTACATTTAATTAAGTTATTGTTAATTGTTATTGGTTTATTGTAAGTGGCTATTGTTTGGGACGAACAATACTAAGGAGGGGGCAGTGTTGCGTCAGCGAGGTCACGTGACTAGTATCACGCCACCCGTTTTCTAGAAATATCCTGTTCCTTCGGGAGTGCCCTAGCATTTGCTAGATTGGGGGTGGTGTGGTATATATAAGATAGTCACGGCGTAACAGGACAATGCGACTGTTGAAATTAAGTGTATCGTAAAGTTGTATTCGGAAAGAATAAACCAGTTTTATTAAGAGAGGACTTGTGTCGCTAAAGTTTCGTCGGAACGAAGTTACGGAAAAGTTAACTAACAACTGGAGGCGTAACAATATGTTCTTTCCCTACAATGTACTTCCGATAACACTGCTTTCACTGCAAAATTACTTGCATCTGTATCTGTTATGAATGGGCCTTCAAGAGTTGGATATGCTATTATAGAAGTATTGGTTAGTTATTTCTTTAGTTGTTAAGCAGTTGTCAAGGATTTTTTTTTGTTTTTCTAATAGAAAAAAAAAAAACATAATAGCGGCTCTCTCATGTGATGCTCCAATAAAACAAGACCTCTAAATAAAATGCAAGCTCGCAATATGTTGTCTTTACTATTGTCTTTCTTCACTTGTCTTAAAATATACCTGCTCGAAATCAATGAAACTATTAAAAGGGAGAGTTCAAGCCTGTAGAAACTGATTAAACAATTAGAAAGATGTTTCATCGCCTCTATTCTTCAGCATCTGAAGATTACCTATGTAACAATATTCAAGATAAGCTGGAGTACTTTTTTTCTGTTATAGCATTTACTAATATGTCCTGATATGAGTATTTAACTTCTCAGTGGTATTTAAACTGCCCTTCTTTCTTCCAAGTACTCAATGAGTACAGGCACAGTAATGAGGTTAGATGTAACATAGACCAGCCATGTAGTTGATGCCATTGCAGCTTTCGAGTGAGTAAAAGCAACATCATAGTTTCCTGAGCACCTAAAGTTTGTTGTCTGAGGATTCTGCTAAAAATCTGAACTCAATACAAAGAAAATAACTTGATAAGTTGATCACAGGAGTTTAATTCTGTGCTTGTAAGACAACGTGGCCTTTTGTGTAAAACAACAATAACACCTTATCGCATAGTCACCGGTGATACACATCCAATTGTAATTAAGCACAAAGCTACACAATGGGCTATCTGTGCTTTGCCCACCACGGGTATCGAAACCCGGATTCTAGCGTTGTAAGTCCGTAGACATACCGCTGTGCCACTGGGGGGGGGCAACACATCCAATGAAACAAACACTTTTCAGTCTTCCTTTCAGCACCAGAGATGCAACCAGTGCTGAAATTGAGCACATGTTGAATGATGGAGTAATACAACTTCTAGAGTCTAGAGAGTGCTTGATCTTTTCCAATGGTTATCACTAAGAAGAAGGATAGAACACCAAAGTGTTAATTGGTGAATATATTTATATTTATGTTAATACCTATCCATTACCTTGAATAAACGAATGCCTAAATGAACTAGAAGGTTCCCATTTGTTCAGTGAGCTAGGTCTGACTTCTAGTTGCTGATATGGAGAAACTCTTACAGTCAAAAAGTAATTGTATGAATCTTGTATCATGTTATTCAGTTTGTGTAATGTACCTAATACGTTCTAGAGGCTCATGAAGCTCACACTGAGAAGGGTTCCAATGGGAGAAAATTTCAGTCTCATCTATGTAGATAAACGTTTTGGGCTATCTGTGCTACACCCACCACGGGTATCGAAACCAGATTTTTAGCATCGAAAGCCTGCAGAATTACCGCTAAGCCAATGGAGTGGGTGAGGAGCTTTTGGATTGATGAGCACAAATTTCCTTACGATAAGAACTCTGAATAAAATGCAAGCTCACAATTCGTTGTCCTTACTTCCACTTTTCTTCATTTACCTTAAAATATACGTGCTTGAAATCAATGAAACAATTAAACGGGCTAGTACAAACCTGTAGAAAATGATTAAACAATTAAAGAAATTTTTGATCGCCTCTATTTTCCAGCTCCTGAAGCATATGTAGGTAACGATTGCCAACCCAAAAATGATGCATGAATTACAATTAAGGGAATATTTCACGGCGTTTTCCATAACCCTTCAAATGAAGAACACACCTGGATCATACTTCCGTTAGCCCCTTGAATGAAAGTTATATACTAAAGTAAATTGCTTTGTGTATGCCAGTATCAACACGAAGCAAAGAAAATAAATTTAGATTGTACGGGTCTGAAATAAATGTAATTGATTTTACAAAATTTATAATCTGTGTCGTATTGACTTATTTTTTTTTTCCAATTGATTCCGAGTAAGGTTTTCCGCAAAACAATATTTACTAAACAATGAATGAAAGAAAAGATACAAGGATATCATGGAAGTTGAAATATACTATGCTCTTTAAAGTAAAAATGTTGAATATTATATCAAAAAAAATATGAACAGCGATAAAAGTTGAATAAGTTTTAAATGTTTTCTTCCTGACTTCTTTCTATTTCGTATCGCAGTTTGGACAACAGTATAATCTTAATACTGTCTTTTCGCAGCGTGGTAACAAGGTGTAAAGATGGGACGCATGCACGCTCCTGGGTAAGTTATGAAGAAAAGTCTATAAATATTTTTGTGCACGTATTTTTTCCATCTTCGAAGTGATGTATGAATTTGAAGTGTGTTTGTAATTTACATATCCTTAGAAGAAAATCTATGTTGCAATGGTTGAGAAGTCTTAAGACAAGTTGAAGCAAAAATGGCCGTCCATTAGGCCTAATTAGTACACAGTGTTAAGGGAAGTGTTTACTCTTTTAAATTTAAGTGTAACATGTAGTAACTAAACAAAGATTATTATTTATATTATTAAGCTAGATCATGAAAACAATTTTATGAGGAGCATAGTATTTTATTGCCTCTATTCTTCAGCACCAGAAGCTTACCTATGTAACAATATTCAAATTTCAAGATAAGCTGGAGTACTTTTTTTTTTTTCTATTATAGCCTAGTCACTAGATGTAAGGTATTTACTAATGTGTTCTGATGTGAGTATTTAACTTCTAGGTGGTTTTTAAACAGCCTATCTTTCAAATACTTAAATGATGTTCTCTGGTGTGTCACGGGCACTGCTTAGTGCTTGTCACTACTACAGTAATTGAATCAATGTATGAAACACACTGTTTTCTTTTGTCCAGAAATCAACTAGTAAATACTTTACATCTAGTGACTATGCTATAATAGAAAATAAAAGTACTCCAGCTTATCTTGAGTAAGCTTATTATGCTGAAGAACAGAGGTGATGAAACATTTAATTATTCAAAACTATATTCCTTATAAAACTGTTTTCACGATTTAACTGTTTCTTAATGTAAATATTCATCTGTGTTTAGTTACATGTTACACTTAAATTTAAAAGAGTAAACACTTCCCTTAACACTAACAGTTAACACTATACTAATTAGGTCTATGCTATGGACAATGTAGTTTAAACAAAGAACTGAAATCATCACAAAAATAGCTAAAATGTGACTATTGTAAACCCTGTTTGCTTGTTTCAACAGTAAGTTAAAACTATAAATGAAAAATAATAGAAGGATAAATGAAAACAAAATAATTTGTATAAAGCACATTTACTGAGATAAAGGGAGTTAACAGTTGTGTTGAAAGTTTATTTTCAGAAAGATACATTCACAGCAATTCATATGGTATTTATTATATAGTTGACAATAACTAATCAGCATGCTGATGTATTTATGACTATTGACTCACTGTCTTATACATCCTAAAACTCCAGGAGTTTACAACCTGAAATTAAATGAAGTGAAAATCAAGTAATGCATGGGTAATAAACTCATACTTTGTAATTACAGGACAATTTATATATAAGAGAAGTAAAATTAAAAGAAAAAATTTTTACTTGAAATGCAAGGAATACGATGAGGTAAATGTATAAATGACTTTTGCCTTAATCACTGCCTTGCTAAATTAAGATCAGTTTACAGGCATGCCTTCAGAAGCTTTTATGCTTTTAAATGGCTTTAAGGCACTGACACATGACTTCCTAAAGCTTAATTGTACAATTTTTATGGTTTAAATGTATTCTAAGTTAGGACTAGGGGAAAAATTTTGAGTTTTGTAATCAGCAGTAGAATGTAAACTTTATACAATAGCTGTTTTTAATATTACCTTTTTCATTCATGGAGAAATCTTAGATATTAGATGGACTTGTATACAGAATTCTGTGTGTCTGTTGATGCTTTTTTTAATGGAGAGAAAGAAATATCATAGTGTTGTACTTCCTATTAGTGATAAACAGGCATTGACACTTTCATGATGGTATCTAGCAAGAACAATGAAGTCATTTCTCAAAATAGTCATTAAATTTTATATGTGGTTTTAACAGAATCTCATTCAAAATTGATACTTTCACTATTGTCAATTCCTTTCTCATAAGTAATTATAATTTTAAGGCTTTTATTTTACTTCCTGGACTTTTTTTTTTTAAACAATAGCCTTTCAACTTGTAGGGCATTGATTTTTTCTTAATAAATCACTTGAACACAGTCCTGCTAGGCTGAAATGTGTAGGGCTTGATAAATATGTCCAATGTAATTCATTAGATAAATGTTGTTAGTTTTAACTTACTAAACTCTATAAACTTTATAAGCATGTAGTTGGGTAGTAATTTGCTGTTAAGTAAAAGATTTGATAAGTTTAATTTCTATGTGTAGAAATTAAAAAATATATAGTTGTATTTAAAACAATATGAAGAGACAAAATTTTACTTTCTATCTAATATAAAAAGTTACTTTCACTTTTTCAGTAAGGGTATATCCCAATCAGCTGTTCCATATAGACGCAGTGTCCCAACTGTAAGTTATGTTTTACTCATTTCTAAAAAAATGTAATTATAACTTTTCTTGTAAAAATGTTTGCATATTAATATAATGAAAGTATAAAATGTGTACTGTAAAAAATTACAGAATATTTAAATAAATTGATAAAAAGTTGTAAGTTTCTGAATTTTTATGGACTGAATAGTAACATCAAGGAATTTTATAACTACTGGCAAAAGTGACAGTGGTCTAATTTTATTACATATTTTCTAAATTTTCAACATAATGAACCCTGTATGCCATAAAATAATTTGAATATGTTAAAGGGTATTCATTTATAGTAATGATAGTAATCTTTGAAATGAAGTATACCATATATCAAATGACACAAATATCAATATTTGTATAAATGTAAACTTGTATTTATGAAAGAGTATTCCGCTATGTAAATACAAGTATTTCTAATAATATAAAATCAAAACTTTTATATTTTTTTCTAGAGTCCTGAAAGTGTAGTTTATCTAGTTGGCCTAGTTTAGTTAAGTTCATGAAATTCTTTGAGAATGTGTGTTTTTTCTAGTGGTTAAAGCTAACTCCAGATGATGTAAAGGAGCAAATTTGCAAGTTAGCAAAGAAAGGATTGACTCCTTCTCAGATTGGTAAGTTTATACCACAAGGTTTTTGCTTCAAACTGGTTATGTTTAAGTTTTTGTGAAATTCATGTTTGATATTATGTAATCTTTTGGTAAGTAGTTCAGACACTTTAGATAAATTTAATCTTTAATAAAAGAATTGTTTAAGTGCTGTCATTTTTGTGCAGCTTTGTAAAATATGAACTATTACAGAATTTTAACATTATGTTTTTAAGTTTTGCTTCATGTTTTTCTTGATTTAGTACTTTATAAGTTTTTTTTTAACATCATTTACTTTGGTCAAATATTTTTATTCATTTTAATTTTTTTTTCTTGTTATTTAAATAGTACAACAAAATATTTTTGTTTCCAAAAAAAGGTTTTACATATTAAAAGTATATTGGATTAATTTTGGTAAAATATGGTTATAGGTTTAAATCAGTACCACACTAATCTGTAGTTTTTTATTTCCTGTCCTATTATGTAATAGTATTTTGAAAATGTTTCTCCTTATATACACATCCTAGGTGTGATCCTGAGAGATTCCCATGGAGTAGCCCAAGTAAGATGGGTCACTGGAAACAAAATACTGAGGATTCTTAAAGCTAAAGGCTTAGCTCCAGATTATCCTGAAGACTTGTACTACCTGATTAAAAAAGCTGTTGCTATTCGTAAACATTTGGAAAGGAATAGGAAGGTAAGATTGTTGTATTTAAAAAAAAAAGGAAGGTAGATGTTTTAATTAGATTTATTACCAACAAAGGTCAAGTGAAAGAACATCAGGAATCTTTCACTTTTACATGTCCTGAATTGGATGTATTAGGTCTTCAAGAAATTAATGTCTCGTTTTGGAACACTTTCATTAACCACCCTCCAAAAATGTACACAACGTATAATGGTTGGAGATGGCTTGAATGGGTAATGA